GTGGGGCACGCACTTCATGTTCGAACCCGAGCGGGTCATCCGAGCGAGCTTTTTGGGCTCCTCAGTTCCTGCGGCCTGAACAAGGGGGAAGTATCAAGCGGGAACTTTGTCTGTGGGCGGTGCGGGTAGTCCCGTCTGAGGACCGTCTCTTGTCGTCACTTGGAGGATCGAAGGGGAACTCGCTCCTGCGGCCTGAATATTCTCTTTCGACTTGCCCACGTCCAATTGCTGGCCAACCTTGTCGTCGTCGGCGGGAGAGGGAACTTGAAAAGGTTCACTCTCCCGCGTTCGTTTGGGCTGGGGAGGGAACTTGAAAAGGTTCACTCTCTAGCTGCGGGAGAGGGAACTTGAAAAGGTTCACTTTCCCGTTCGTGGCAGGATTGGGCTGGAGAGGGAACTTGAAAAGGTTCGACGTCTCTAGCTGCGGGAGAGGGAACTTGCAAAGGTTCCCTGTCCCCCCTTGTCGTCGGAGTGAAGGGGGAACTTGAAAAGGTTCACCCTTCATTCGCGGGAAAGGGAACTTGAAAAGGTTCACTTTCCCTTGGAGAGGGAACTTGCAAAGGTTCACTCTCCAGCAGCGGGAAAGGGAACTTGCAAAGGTTCACTTCCCCGCGCGTTCCAACTGGAGAGGGAACTTGAAAAGGTTCCCTCTCCAGCAGCGGGAAAGGGAACTTGCAAAGGTTCACTTTCCCGCGCGTTCCAACTGGAGAGGGAACTTGAAAAGGCCCCCTCTCCAGTTTTTTTCTGACCCCCCCTTTTCCTAACACCGATGTTTCAATGGACTAAGGGGTCACTAACGCAATTTTTGGTTGGACGAGTGGCGCGCGCTGGCACGCTTTGGGGTCAGCGACCCCAAAGCGTGGTTGGACGAGGGCGAGGTGCTCCCGCACGTCGGCTCGCAACCCAAGCTGGGGCACATGGGCGCGTACGAGCTGGGCGATGCCGACGCTTACGTCAACCGCCCGGAGGTTCCGGAGAAGCCGCTCGCGTGGACGGACGACTGCTCGCCGGAGGAGTGGCGCGACATTACGCTGCAGTGCCAGACGGAGGACGCGGAGGGCGAGGACGCGGATGACGTGGACGCCGCGGACACCTTCGCGGACCAGCTGGAACTGGATGCCCAGGCAGCGTTCAGCGACGGCCTGAACACGGGTTTCTACATCAACTCCTACACGACGAAGCAGTGCCCCAGCACGGAGGGCGTCCTCGTGGAGATGCGGCGCGGCCTGGAGCGGCTGCAGGCGCAGCGACAGGCGCAGCAGGACAAGATGAAGCTGGAGCTGCAGCAGCGAGGAGACGACCCCGAGAAGACTCTGTCCGCCGCCGACCGGAGAGCGCTCGGGGGTAAGTCCAAGTTCGGGGAGACGCTGGATCTGGTGAAGAATCTGTCCGCATCGCACCGCCGATGCTACTGGAAGAGCGGGCCAGAGATGCTGTTCCCGATCTTCTACGGCCACCTCACCTACGCGTCCCACCGCTGCTGGGCGATCTTCATCAAGAAGGGCGTCTTCCTGGCGGCGGAGGCGTGGCGACGCGAGTACGGGCGCTCTCTCCGGCACAAGGCCAAGCAGGACGGGGGCCGCGCCCCGGTGCAGTACCTCGGGCGCGGCGTCGACCCGCACACTCTCGAGGGGTGGCGCGAGGAAAAGGACGACGACGGGCAGGCGGTGTACGTGAGCCCGGAAGGCCAGCGCTTCCCGGATATCCTGACGGCCTACGAGCACGACGTCGCGACCAAGGCGGCGCGCGACGCGCCCGATCATCGCCAGGTGGCGTCGTTCCTGGCGAAGTTCATGCAGGACGTGGGCTGCGAGAGCGAGGAGGCCCCGAAGACGGGGGACGGCTTCCGCATCGTGAGGACCACGAGCACTCTGGACGACTGGCTGCACCGCGGCGACGACCCGGTCCTCAAGCACATGAGTTTGCAGGTGTACGCCATGTGGGTCTACCGCTGCGAGAAGCCCGACGGCCTGCGGCGAGACAAGACCCGCGCGCAGCACCTGGACTTCGACTTCGCGCCGCACTACGCGCTGCACGCGACCCACAAGCAGCGCCTGGCCCCCGAGCTCCGCGCGCCCCTCTTCGAGGGCTTCACCACGCCGACGATGAACAAAGACTGCGAGACAGCATGCTTGTACAAGCAGTTGCTCCTGAGGCCGTTGGAGGTGGAGAACTCGGAGACGCCGGAGGACGAGCGCATGCTGCGGGCGTTCGCGCCCCTGATGGAGGCCCCCGGCGCGCCCCGTGACATGAATGTGCGCGGGTCAACCTGTTTCACGCGATCTTGGGCGCACTACGAGGCCCAGGCGGACGCGGAGGCCCGCGTCGCCGCGGCCCGCTTCCTCGCGCGGCACGAGTGGCCCTCGATCTGGGAGACACAGGAGGTGCAGGAGGAATTCTTCGCGCTGCACCAGGCGCGAGCGGAGGGTAAGGACGCGGAGGGCGACTCGCTGGACCCCACCCACTGCCCCGACAGAGAGAAACCCAGGGCGACGGTGCA